CCGCGATGGCGCGTCATGGCTCTAAGGCTGGTACTTGACGCCAAGCTTTGACAAAATATCGCCTTAAGTTGCATATATATATATATATATATATATATATATATATATATATATATATATATATATATATATATGAATAATATTAGAAAATACATATAAAATTATTAATTACATAACAAATTGTCTCCTTAAATCACACTTTACAAACAACATAGATCGCCACGACTCAAAAAAGCTTGAGCCTTAACATTATCGTCAACTCACACCTTACGTTATTTAGAACCTTGCAAGACACTAGACTTATATATTACATTACATGGTTGTTGCAATCGACAATATGTGAGATGGATACTAGATGAAATATATATATATATATATATATATATATATATATATATATATATATATATATATATATATATATATATATATATGACTTGTAATGGCTTTATATAAAGCATTACAATGAGTTCTATATAGCAATACCCAAAAACCTCTAATAAATATGAAGCATCCTCTCTAATAAATAAATGAAGGTATTTTATTATTATTATTATTATTATTATTATTATTATTATTATTTTGTCATTAGTCAAATTCTCAAGAGTTTTGGTCATTATAATTTTGTGGAAGTTTTAGAATTATTATTTTCCACTTGTAATTTTTTGGGAATTTTCATTTTTTAAAATAAAATTCCACATAATTCTAATAGCGAAAGGGAATTATTCTATTAATTTGATAATAAATTTTCATAAATGCGATTTCTTTTTTAAATGTTCCAAAAGATTATATTATTTTATATGAAAGTGTTATTTTATAAAATATTTAATGCTTAAATATTGATATTAAATTTTTTGTTTTAATAAATTTATATAGTACACGGTTTCCACCTAGTTATTAATAAGTAGCAAACTTTAAAACCAATCAAATAACTCCATAATAAATGTTAATTTCTGCCCATACATAAAAATGTAAACGTGCACCAACAAAGGATGCCAAAAATGGAAGTACTGTGTTGATGGAGCATTGTCTTCTAGATGGTTGCGCACTCGACATCAACGTATTACCATTAAGGTTTTGAGGCATTTTCAACAGTCTTGGTACATTATATTGTTGCAATTTTGGTTCTACTTATTTCTTTTCTTTTATAAAAACATGGACTCGTATTTTAAGATAAGAAATTTCTTTCCATGATGACGACATCTATTAGTAATTAGTTAGTAGGATATATGGACTTGTTTGTATTTTGGTCTATTTCAATGTAATCTCCTGGTGTTTTTACCAGCAAGAAATTTAGTTTTTCGGTTCTTATGTGTAATAAATATAGCATGCAGGTGGTGGTTCACCTCCCGTTAATTCATATATGAAGATTGTGGGAGATGGTAATGTTGAAGGAATAATTCCATGGAGTGATTTTTCAAGTATAATGTTGTTTCAGAGCTGCCATGGCCGTAAAAAATAGCGTAGAAGGAAATTGGAACTTGGAGTGGTCATTTTGACATATGATGCACTCATCTTAGTTTGCTTTGCGTGTGAGTTCCGATCGATGTTTATGTGAGACTTCTTGATCTCATGTTTGGTTGATCTTTTTTAGATATACTTTATAAATCAACAATGAGACCAAATTAGACACAACATGCACGTATTATGGACAAATTTGTAGTATGTCCGTGCACTCAAAATTACTTGGTTTTCTTAAAAGGGAAAGTGAATATCCAAAGGATTTTTATTGCCGTAGAAGAACATCTGTCACTTGAAAAAAAATACAACATAGTTGACTATTATTTTGGCTTTTTGTTAAGTAAAAGGCTATATTAGCACAACCCATTTGCCTTGCTACTCATCCAACAACATTGTAAACGGTAACTAGCAACATCTAAAAGGCAATGAAGAATTTCGGTTTGGTTCTCCTAGCAACAACTTCATTGGAGACAATGCTCGACTTGCAAACCTACAAGTGATGGGATCCGGTGAAGAAAACCGCCTCCAGGAGAATGCAACCGTGAGAACAACTCGGATTGTTGTGTCCAAGGTAAGTTTTACACCACATCACTACAACAATCGGTCCCTGTGAAGACGACAACTTCAGACCCTATGGAGACGACAAGTCGTCGGCATAGGGTATGGCGTCGACAAGTCGTCGGGAAAGAGTCGTAGGCACAGGCGTGTCGGCATAGGTCTATTAGGTCGTTGGCATTGACGTTGTCGTCGACACATATTTTGTCAACAACTTTTTCAGGGGAAAAAAATAAAGTTTTATTAAAATCCTTTGGCGATGACTAGTCGTCGGGATAGCTATAGAGACGACTAGTCGTCGGGACAAGTTGAAGCTATTACGACACCATGTTGTCGCTATAGGTTTTTATCAGTTTACGGTTATGGACCTATTGCGACGACTAGTCGTCGCTATAGCTACTCGTTGTTTTTTTTTTTTTTTTTTAGCTTTACAGGTTTTGTACATTATCATTCCTGCATTTTTAACAAATCCAAACAGCAATGCAGCATATATCAATTGAAATACGTTAACTAGGTACCATTGTTCAAATTCAAGTTTAACGTTAACTAGGTACCATTGTTCAAATTCAAGTTTAATATTACAATAAGTTGTTAACTAACATTGTTCATAATACTAAAAAAACATCAATCATCATTATCATAATCGTCTTCTTCTTCTTCTTCTTCTTCTTCTTCTTCTCCTTCTCCTTCTCCTTCTCCTTCTCCTTCTCCTTCTCCTTCTTCTTCCATCCTCTCGGAAAATTGTTGAGAGCTACTTGCTTGTGTGTTATAGTTGAATAGAAAGTTAGGAAATGGTGGTGGTTGGAAGTTCGAAATACAAGCCGCAAATGATGCATTATATTGTTGCAAATATTCTTGCATTTGTTGTGCATCGAATTGGGATACAGATTGGGGTTGAGATTTAGACGATTTGGAAGTGGAAGGCCGTTCATTTGGAATTAAACCGAAGTTGGTGGTTGGTCTCCTACCCACCCCGCGAGCATGTCCACGTCTCGTCCCAAAGGCACGTTCTAAACATTCTTCCTCGTTTACTTCTCCTCCTTCCCCAACCTCGTTTTGCATTTTCTCATATTCATTTTGAATTTTCTCCTAAAATAAAGAAAACAATTAATATACGTTAATTAAAACAAACAACTAAACTTAAACATTCAAAAAATAATAATATACCTTAAACAAGAAACTATAATTAATTATCATATATTTAAACAACATATTCATTTCGTTTATCACTTATCAGTCTTCTTCTGCTCGACTTGTACACCAACTCGAAACTTCTTTGTAGCGCATTTGTCTCCAACCCTCAATATGCTGCGGCTTGATTCCCATTTGTTCCTATAATAAGTGAAAAAACAATAAATATATTTATACAAATGTTAATAACAATTTTAAATAATACTAATGTATTTTATTACCTCTAAATAACGTCGTTGAGCATAGGGTCTACATCTGTGAGCACTTGTGTGTGGAAGTTTCGACCTAGTAACATTATTTTTTCCGACGTGCGTCTGTATTCCTCGGTCAAAAACAACAAATCAATCCACTGGATGTCTTCTTGCCCTTTCCACATTACGATATCCACCAACTCTTTCAAAATGTTTTTTTATCTGATACTTGCGCTCTCGATAAACTCTTTGCATATCTGCTTGGATACCCGCTCGAAGGGGTTCCCACTAATTTGTGCCCCGATACCTATTAATATCAAAATAAGTCTGCAAAAGGAAAAACATATTTGATTAGTAAAAAAATATTTAATAAGTGTAAAATTCAATACATATAAAATATATTGTATATTTACCTCTAGCTCGGGATATAAATCAGCTTTGTACTTGGTAGGAACACGACGCCAAGTATGATAATGCAACGGTACCATTGATCCCTCCTGATTTGAGATCATTCTGACAAACATTTTCCCGTTGTCCCTTATAAATCAATATGTCCGCCCGGAGATATCAATTCTCAAATCCAAAGGCCTACACTTGTTTTTTTCATACTCATCGTACAAATTTAAGTTTCTCCCTTTGCCACACACATTCACATTCACATTCTTCGCTTATGCTATATTTACATATATAATTGGAAATTTATAAATTTAAAACTTTAATATATCTAATAATTAAAATTTTCAAATAACTTACAAGATTGGCAACCCAATGGTACACCGCATGCAATCCCGTGTGGAGGTCTATCCCCACCGTCTCCTCCGTGTCCCCTCGCGACTTCTGCCATCTGTTTAACAAATACTATAAACATTCAGGAAATTTAATAAAACTACAAATAAGAAACATTTCTAAATCTAACAAATACTATAAGCAACCAGGACATATAATAACAATAACATACTGTCAATCAGATTCATCACTAGAACAATATACATGTACAACATCATCATCATTGTCATAGTTTTCATTATTTATTTCTTCATCTGAAGAGTACGTATCATCATCGTCATTTCCATCGTTAATGAAATCTTCATCGTTTATATTAGGAGCAACATTCCTCCTAGCAACCACACTTGATTCACTAACTTCACCTAAAGTCGTCTGCATATGTAAGGTGCCTAAGTCGACAACCAAGGTAAAATCAGTTGATTGAGTGTTGTTCACAACATCTATCTCATTCACAACTCCGATACTTGGATGATTTCAAAGTTTTCGATGATGAACCTCTTCCACAACTCTCCAGTTATTGTTTTGAGTGAGATCTTGGAGATAAAATACTTGTTTAGCTTGTGTAGCTAAGATGTATTGTTGATCATCAAACCACGTTTTACCGACATATCGTTCATGACTAGTATCGATAAGAATCATATTATTTATAGCTTTTAAACTTCCATTACGTAATGAGGCATTGAACCATTTACCACGAAAGAGTACAACTGATTTATCATATAAATAATGTAACTCTATGATCTCCTCTAATTGACCATAGAATGGTGTACCGTCGTCTTCTCCGAATGTAACAACACCACTATTTTGAGAAGTGCATCAGAGATCACGACTATTCATGACAAATCGGACACCATTTACTATGCATGCAGTGTATGAATATGCACGCAACGAACCATATACCAACCCCTTTAATTCGTCAGTACTGTCCGTAGGCACATCTTTTTGGAGACAATAAATTTGTAAGGAAATAGAAGATTGTATGTTTAAGTAATAATTTAGCTTTACATTATAAATATATAAAATACTTACCTTTTCTTTGAACCATGAAGGAAATTCCTTTTTGAAATCACTTTCAGGCAATTCTAATTTCAATTCACTGAATATGGGACAAAATAATTAGAATAGTTAAAACACTATCGAAAAGGTAGTTAATAGATTAGAAACTTACGATTTATAGCTTCTTATCTCATCCTCATCGCAATTGTTTACTACATACCAATGTAATGGTTTTTTGGCCTCGTTACAAAGTTCAACGATTTTCTTAGCCGACATTGTTCGACATTGTGATGAAAAGACAAAAAATTGCCTTTTTGGAAGGCCAGGATCATCATTTCTATCAGCACGGTTGAATTTAGTTTGCATACCCTCAAGATACATAGAGCAAAATGTCAAAGCTTCGTCTGCAACATAACCCTCTACTATTAAGCCTTTTGGTTTGGCTTTGTTTCTGACATAATTTTTAAGTTTTTTCATATATCTTTCAAAAGGATACATCCATCTCATGTGTACAGGCCCTCCAAGAACGGTTTCATCAGGTAAATGAAGAATAAGATGAATCATTATGTCGAAAAATGGTGGAGGATATATCAACTCAAGATTACATAAGATCTTCACCACTTCTATTCTGGCATTTCTCATGTCGTTAACATCCAATGACCGTGCACAAATTTTTTTAAAGAATGTACGCGGGTCAATGATTGTTCTTGAAACATTTGGTGGGAGACATATTCGAACCCCTATAGGTAGCAATCATTGCATGAGGACGTGATGATCGTGAGACTTCAACCCAATGAAATTTGATTCAGTATCATTAACCTTCTTCTTAAAGTTCGATCCAAAACCATCAGGTAGTCTCACTCCTTTAATGAATTGACAAAAACGTTGTCGATCAATTGGTTTGAAAGAGTATGAAGCATGTGGATGTGTTTCCTTCTTCTTGTTTTCTTCCTTGTTGTGTTTCTTCATCTTCTTAACTTTCTCTTTTGGCCATTGATCTGATCTAATGCCCATATTTTTCAAGTCAATTCTTGCTTCTTTTTTGTCTTTGCTTTTATCGTTCATCAGTGCAGTATTCAACACACTCTCATTCACATTCTTTGAAATATGAATAACATGGAAATTGTGCTTTAGGTCGACGGAAGACCAATACTCAAGCTCAAAGAAGATACTTTGTTTTGTCCAATTTAACTCTCTCTTTTTTCTTTCATCGTCGCACTTTCTTTTTTTATCCCTATAATTAGGATGTTTCCCTGGAATTCGATTGGAGAGATAATTTACTTTCTTTAATATAGTTGCATTACTGAATCTTCTAGCACGCGGTCTTGTCTCAGGTTGATCATCAAACAATAGACTCTCCCTCCAACTATGGTTTATATTCAAGAATCATCTGTGACCAACATAAGACATCTTGTTGGTCACATAAATGGAAGATGTGTCTTCGTTACAAGTAGGGCATGCTAAATAACCTTAACCACTCCATCTAGACAGACTACTAAGTGATGGGAAATCATTGATAGTCCATAACAACATCGCATACATATTGAATACAGTGTTGTTTGATGCATCTCTCATTTGGACTCCTTCGACCCACAACATTTTCAACTCATCCACCAAAGGCCTCAAGTAAACATCAATGCCCTTTGCGGGTGATCTAGGGCCAGGAATCAACAAATTTAGCATGAAAGAAGACTCTTTCATACATATCCATGGTGGTGTATTGTAGGTAGTCAATATAACCAGCCAAATACTACAATTGTTATTAAAGTTGTCGAATGGATTAAAGCCATCAGCAGCTAAACCTAGACAAAGATTTCTAGGTTCTGTGGAAAACTCTGGATATCTCTTATCAAATTCTTTCCATGACTTCCCATCTACCGGATGATACATCATACAATTCATTGATCTTCCAGCATTATGCCAAATCATATCATTAACTGTGAATCTGGAACTATACATCCGTCGAAGTCTTGGAGTTAAAGGAAAGTACCGCAACACTTTTTGTGGTACTCTCTTCCCCTTTGTGGTTGTGTCCACCCATCTACTCTCGTTACAAATCGGGCAATTCTGCATGGAATCATTCTCCTTCCAAAACAAAGCACAGTCATATTTGCAAGCATGGATGGACTCATATCCTAACCCTATCTTTCTCAACTTTTTCTTAGCTTCATAGTGTGAAGTTGGAATCTTGCTCTTCGGGAAAGCAACTCGTAGCAACTCTAAAAGTTGGTCAAATGAACTATTTGTCCATTTATTGATCACTTTAATATGCAACAACTTTGCCAAAAAGTTTAAAGAAGACATCTCACAATTAGGGTGTAACTTGGTATTGAGCTCCTCAAATAAAGCATCAAATTTTAGGTCCATGCCTCGTCCTTCATCATCTGTATTTTCTTCATTTGTATTTTGTTCCACCATAACATCATCAATTACATCAAACATCTCATTATTCGTTGGAATGTTTATTGGAGTCGAATTGTAGCTAAAATCTGAAACAGAATGCTTCTCACCGTGATAAATCCATATAGTATATGATTTTAGAAACACACGGTCATGAATATGGTCATAAACCGTACTCAACAACTGTCGATACATATTCACACACTTTATGCACGGACAATGCACTTTGTCTTCAGAGTCAACCTGTTTCCTAGCAATCTCCATAAAGTTTTTAAGAGCTTCCAAGAATTTTGGGGACGTTCGGTGTTCCCGAATCCAACTCTTATCGATCGTCATTACTGTTTAATTATAAAAAATTAGATTGTATGCATAATTAAAATAAATGTACTTTTATTAGTTTAAATATTTTAATATTTTGTTTACTCTCGATAAACATACTTTTATTATTTTAAATATTTTTATATTTTCTTTAATGTTGCTATTAGTAACGTTTGTTCTTAATGAAAATTTTTTATTAGTTTAAATATTTTTATATTTTCATGAATCCAACTCTTATCGACTGTCATTACTATTTCATTATTAAAAATAACATTGTATACATAGTTAAATTGTATGACTTTTTGTTTGAGAAAAAAAAACGGACGGAATGGATAGATATTGACAAGTATATAAAAAAATATATACCCTGGAAGTAGGAATCGGAATGAATTGATAGAGTATTCATAAGGGTACACTTCTAAACACATTTTATAGCAATGTACTATTATTAGTTTGTTTAAAACATTCTATTTTTCACTTCTCTTTCATATTTATTGTATGTATACATTTTATCCTTTTCAATTACAGCATTGTACTTTTAATATTATTTTTTTTTTATAACACCATAAACAAGATAAGAAATACTTTTAATATTACTTTTAATAACAACGTAATTTTATTATTTTGTTTTCTGTTATAACTTTCAAATAGAAATGAAAATAAAATACTTTAATTAACAAGATAAAAAAAAGTATGTTCGTATTAATAACTTTTATAGTTTAAATATTTTTGACTTAATAAACATATTTTTATTAGTTTAATATTATTTTGTTATTTATTTTTATTTTTTTTATCTTGTATATTGATATTAAAGTTTATTAGTTTGTTTAAAACATTAAGATGGTTCAAACATATATGGTCGAAAGATCAATCATGGAGAATACTAAAGATAAAAAATACTTTTAATATATATATATATATATATATATATATATATATATATATTATAGCACCATAAACAAGATAAAAAATACTTTTAATATTACTTTTAATAACAACATAATTTTATTATTTTGTTTTATGTTATAACTTTCAAATAGAAATGAAAATATAATACTTTTGTTAAAAAGAAAAAAAAAGTATGTTGCTATTAATAACTAAACAAATTAAACACAATTCATACATATTTTACATTTTATACATAAACTTTTATACCAACCTAAATAAAGATCACAATCATACAAAATTTCATACCAACCTAAACAAAGATCACATAAAATTTCATATCAACCTAAACAATTTCAATTTCATATACCAACCTAAACAACATCAATTTCATACAATTTCATATACCAACCTAAACAATATCAATTTCATACAATTTAATATACCAACATAAACAATATCAATTTCATACAAATTCATATACCAACCTAAACAATATCAATTTCATACAGTTAGTTTGTTTAAAGTATAAACCTAAACAAACAACAACACAATCACACACACACATACATATATATATATATATACACACACACACACACACACACACACAACACAATCACATATATATACAAACAACAAACAATTTCAACACAATTCAAATTCAATTTCAATAAAAATTAGAAAAAAAAAAACTAACCTTTTGTTCTTGTGATGTTCAGTTTTTCTGGCTAGTCAAAGATGCAGGTAATACTCCGGTGGTGGCTGGTGGTGGCCACAGGCGGCAACACTAGGCGGTGGAAGGTTGAGGCAGTCACTAGGTCAATGGAGCTTCACCACCGGTTCCTACACACCAAAAAAAACCCCAAATTAGGGGTAAAAATCAATGCCAAACAACATTAAAATAACAAATTAGGGGTAGAAACAACCTTGGATTTGGTTAATCATCAGATATTGTCGTTGAGTAGCCGATTTCGTCGCCTGGGAGGAAACAATGCAGAAAGAAGTCGTTGTGTGCCAATGAAAGAAGGATGCGTAACTGTTTTAGGGTATACCCCTATGTCGACAACATATCGTCTGTATAGGGTCAACATAATCGACGACGTATCATTTATTCCATATATATATATATATATATATATATATATATATATATATATATATATATATATATATATATATATATATAAATTAAAAACCTTGTGCCAACGACTTGTTGTCGGCATAGGGTATCCCAAAACTACGTCGTTCACTTTTTCTGGCACTTGGAATAAAAATAAATGGAAAATAATTTTTTTTTTACCTATACCGACGACACGTCGTCGATATAGATTTTCATATTACCGCCAACATTTTCGTCGTTCCTGCCAGACCTATCGCGACGACTTGTCGTCGGCACATATATAGTGGTCAAAGGAAATTGGTCAAAAGTTTCAAAAGCTATGGCGACAAAGTGTCGTTGGCATAGGGTACCTGTAGCGACGACATTTTTCGTCGGGATACGCATCGTCGCCTTAGTTTAATATTCTTGTAGTGCGTATACATGCTCGCCTCCGGTGACAGGCGATACTAAAGCAACACTAACAATAAATAGTTTCCAAAAGGGAGGTGTGGTGGTGGTCCATCGGAGTGTTAAAACGAGTTGTGGCGCTGTCAACTGGATGTGGCGCTGTCAATTGGATGGTATAAGGGAGGGGATAGGTGCCACAAATATATTACCATCAATGGAAATGGGAGGAGTGTAAAGGCAATGGTTGTGAATGAGTGTGACTCTACTATGGGGTGCGATGGTGATCATGACTATCAACCTCCTTGCCCTAATAATATTGTTGATGCTTCCAAAGCAGTGTGGAAGGCCTTAGGGGTATCCGAGGATAACTGGGGATAGATATTACTTGGACAGAGTGATTTTAGTGTAGCTGTCCTTTTAAAACATCAAACATATTTATGTTTCTGTTTCTTGTGGATATTGTAATCTGTAAGGTATTGACATAACTATATATTCTAATGACTAGAGGTTCACACCAAACTTATCGGCA